AAATTTGAAGTTCTGTTCTGCATTTTCCCTTGCCTGTGAACCTAAAGCAAAAATTAAAATGCTGTCCTGTGGGGCTCATAATGTATGCACCTATGACAACAGTAACATGAAGGATGGAAGGAGATGGTAAATGGAACTATAGAAGTGCAAGTGGTAAAGCAGTGACTCTCAGTAAAAAGTTAAGGATGTATGTTGTAATCTCTAGAGCACCAGTAAAAGTAGACTTTAAGAGAAAGCGCAATACCAAAGATAACAAGGGACATTTCATAATGATGAAAAGATCAATTCATTAGAAAGAGACAATCATTTGTAAAATGTGTAAGCCTCTATAATAGTTTTGCAAGACTTCTGTGACAAAGTACCACAAACTGAGTGACTTAAAACAACAGACATTTATTGTCCTACAAGTCTGGAGCACAGGTCTACTCTGACACACATGCGACCTTGATGAGTCGGAGTCAACTCGATGGCAAATGGGTTTTCTTTTTTTAATCTATCACTCCCTACCAATATTCAACACTGCCAACGTGAAGACCCTAAATCTCTGTCTGAGTCCTCTAAGCTCTGTGGATCACAGGTCTCAGGCATAGAAGGGGAGAATTCTACCACTGAGCTACCAATGCTTTATACCACACAGTGAGTTAAAACAACACAAATTTATTCTTTTACAGTTCTAGAGGCCACAAGTCCCAAAATTAAGGCATTTGCGGGACTGCCTCCTTCTGGAGACTCTAGGGGAGAATGCTTTTCCTTGCCCTTTCCAGCTTCTAAAGGCCACCCACATTCCTGCCTCCATCTTCAAAGTCCGTAGCATAGCATCTTCCACCTCTCTGCTTCCATCATCACCTTACCTTTTCTTTACTCTGAACTTCTGCTTCCTTCTTACAAGGAACCTATATTACATTAGACCCATCTGAATAATCCCAAATAATCTCTCCATCTCAAGATTCTTAATTTAGTCCCTTTTGCCATGTAAGGTAACATATCCACAGGTTCTGGGGATTAAGCCCAGGACATCTTTAGGGAGCCATTATTCAGCGTACAAATTGCGCCACCAGTCCTCTTTTTGTTTCTTGTAAATATATATATATATATACATATATATACATGCATATATATATATATGCAAAATATCAAGACAGGACCCTAATGGAGCAAAAGTAAAATTGACATCATGCTGAGGGTCCTTCACTCTATGACATAATTTCAGAATTGTGATGGTTAACATTATGCGTCCACTTGGCTAGGCCATGATGTCAGTGTTTTGGCAGTCGTATAATGTTGTGATCACATCCATGTTGAGATTTGATATGTGATCATCCCCATGATGAGATCTGCTGTGAGGAGCCAATCAGTTAAAAGGGAGTTTCCTTGGGCATTTGGCCTGAATTGAATATAAGTAGACATTCTGGCAAAACTTGGGGTCTCTTTGCTCGAGCTGGATTCTGCACCAGCTCCTGTTCATCTGACCTCTGGTTCTTGGGATTTGAGCTAGTAGCTTACCTGTGGTCTTGCAGGCAAATCTTGGCATTCATCAATCTTTACAGCCAGTGAGCAAGAGCCCTGCTCTCTGACCTGCCCATCTTGGGTTCATCAGTCTGTGCAGCTACATGAATCAGGAAAATCCTCTATCCTGACCCACGGACTTGGGATGATCCAGCCTCTACAACTGCGTGAGGCATTTCTTTGCTATAATCTTTATATATATATATATGCTTTACTGGTTGTGCTTCTCTAGAGAACCCAGCCTAAGACAAGGATGCAGTTGATGGAGATAATTTAGATTTGTCTTTAACTGGAGAAGTGGCAAGTGCATTTGCCATTGTAAACAGGGTAGTTGAATCCAAGGCAGGTTAAGGAGACTCATTTTTGTTTGTATGAGAAGAAAGGTGCATGGCAGCCAAGTGGGGGGACTACATGTAGTAAGTACAAATTCAGCTTGCTGCTTGACCTGAGACTTTTCCTCAGGGTTTATGTTACTATGATCCATTCCTCTTCCTGGTCTTTGGCCTGACTGATGGGTCCAAAAATATAGTAAACTGACCCCAGCTATTCTATCTCCTGGAATTTGAAATTTTAATCTGAAACATTGGGATTCAAGCTGTTTGGATATAGGTTATCTGATGGCAGGGCACCTGAGGGGCAGACCATATGTTCCTGATGTTGTACCTGCCCTGGTCCCTCTCCTTCCCAAGTTATTTAGATTAAGTGCTTCCTCCATTCTCTGAACTGTCTTTGTTCCTTTCTAAGGTATTTTCTTTTTTGCCTATGTTAGCCAGACTCAGTCTCTTTTGATTGCAGCCAGAAAGAATCTCAACTGATGAAAGTGTTACAATAGAATACTATCACATAGATATTTAGCATCATGGAATTCAACTGTAAATTTTCAGAGGGAAAAGGATTCATGAAATACTAAACGACTCAACTACTAACTCCTAAGTGCCAGAAACTCTCAATGCCCAGGTGAAATCTATGAAAGAATGTGACTTATCAAAGATTGATGAAGAGATGACAAAGTGAAGCACACTGTTCAGGTGATCAGGCAAGTGGGTGGCCATGGCTCTGTCGATTTCTCTGGGAAGAAATTGCAGAAATGTTTGAAGGCTTCAGGGAAACATCTGCTGATCAAGAGTTAGAGACTGTGAAAAATCCTCTGCAGGATTCTATAGACTGAAGGGCATTAACAATTGCCGAAATGGTAAATTTTTGTTACATGTATATTTACGACAATCAAAACAAGGCATATAAGGCACTGAATGCACTTTGTGAGTGACTTAGGTTTTCCAGGATGATTTTGCATGGCCTGTGTGTCTAACTTCCTGCCCTGGGCTCCAGCCCTGGAAATTGACTCTGCACTCACATGCTCCACAACATGGAAATACGGAGCATTAACGCCCATTGAGGGTGGGATCAATAGTTAGATGCTTCCTCTTTCCTCCCTGGGGAGGACAATTCTGAGGAAATCCTCAGAAGGTCCTGACAGAAACAAGCATCAATCACCCACAAAAACCCACTGCTGTCCAGTCAATTCCAACTCATAGCAACCTTATAGGACCGAGTAGAGCTGCCCCCTAGGGTTTCCAAGGTTATAAATCTTTAGGGAAGCAAGCTGACTGCCACATCTTTCTCCCACAGAGTAGCTAGCGAGATCAAACAGCTGACTTTTCAGTTAGCAGCCGAGTACTTTAACTACTGTGCCACCACGGCTCTTCAATCACCCACATGGGTAACGAAATCAAGGACAAGTCCTTGTATTAACATTCCCTCCTTCCCTGCTTCATTTCCTCAGCCCCTCACTTGTGCTTCCAGGGATCACATCCCAAATAAACCACCTGCATTTGAGCCTAACCTCCAGCTCTGCTGTCAGGGAAACATAGACTGGAAATAGCCACTTTAGGGTCACGGAGGCTTATGGGTTTCTGTGCAAAGGGTAATGGGAAACCATTGAAGAGGTGGAGGCAGGTGTTTGATGAGATCTATATTCTTTAAGGGTTATTCTTGCCCAGTGAGCAGAATGGGCAGGGGGCAGGGACGGTGCGCTGTGTGTAATCACAAGAAAACTATTCTAGAAGCTCTTACAAGACTCTAGGTGAAATGTGAGGGTAGCCTGGATGAGGATATTTGCTGTCTGGCTATCTCTCTCTGTCCACCCATCTCTGACCCTCCCTCACACATGACACAGGCCCTTCTGATTCCTAATTAGACTCATGTGCTTCATGTCCATCCTGGGCCCTGACTGCTGGACCAAAAACACACCTGTGTTAAGCCCAAGTCAGACATTCACAAGTTTCTCCAGGGTCCCCCACTGGGGCCTGCTGGGTGCTAGGGCCTGAGGGAAATGACTGGGTGGGGGATTGGGAGCCTAGGGAGTGAGCAGGAGCAGCATGGGGGACTTGATCCCTGAGATCCTGGGAGGCAAGCTCATGGGGAAGTGACGTCAGACATCCAGAGCCCAAGGCAGACAATTAGTCAACACAGCAAGAGCTTAGGGCATCAGGCAATATTTATTGAACCAAAGTCTATAGAAGCCAAGATGGGAACAGCCAGAAAGATCTGAGATAGTTCCTTCTCCAACCCTCCTCCTCCCAACTGTTGAGGAAATTAAGGCTCAGACAGGTTGTGTATCTTGATTCCAAGCTGGTTGATTTCCATGACATACCACAAGGCTCCTTGGCATGTCCCTGGCATCTACTTTCACATTTTTTTCAAATCAACCACTGTTTCAACATACATTTGGAGTTTCTTTGGAACTTCATTGGTCCTTCAGTGCACTCTTGACCCAAAAAGGGCTGCTGACTTGACAAATGCTCCACTCAGTCTGTTGTCACCACCACCATCACCATCATCATCCTCATCATGATCAAGAAGTCACTGCCTGACTGAGATAAACCCACTAAAAGACAAGGGTGCCTTGATACTGGAGAGAAAGGGCTGGAGATCACCACCTGGGAAAGTCTTCACTCTTGCTAGGACATCAAATCATGGGGAGGGTCAATAATGGAGCTGCTGCTACCTCTCCTATGGTCCAACAATTCTAACTCTGGCTTTCTCCCATTCCCAACTCTTTAATTTTCTCATTGCTTCTTCCTGCATGTCTCCCTTGCCACTCATGCTCCCAGTGTCTTCTTTAGTCCAGAATAAACTGTTTCTTCTCGTTCCCCTCACTCCCTAGTCCACTCTTCTCTCATTTCAGCCCCAGCTTTCCTGCCTTATCTTTTTTAAAATTTTTATTTTTGTTGTTGTTGAGAATATACACAGCAGAACCTACACCATTCCAATAGTTTCTGCATGTAAAATTCAGTGACATTGATTACATCGTTTGAGTTGTGCAACCATTCTCACCTTCCTCTTCTGAGTTGTTCCTTCCACATTGACATAAACTCACTGCCCCCCCAAGTTTCCTATCTAATCTTTCAAGTTACTGTTGTCAGTTTGATCCCATAGAGATGGATCTTAAAAGAGCACAATGCTCAAGGCAGACAACCTTTACCAGTTAAGCTAAACTATTGTATGATTTTAAGAAGACTTGAGGGGATATTTTTGGTTTAAGGTTTAAGATTATCTCAGGGCAATGATTTTGGGGGTTCATCTAGCCTCCATGGCTCCATTTCCTACCTTGCCTTGAACCCACTTTCTGTATGCATTAACCCTTCCCTTCCCATACTCAGCTACAGAAAGACCAAACTCCTTAATACTCAGTTACATAAACTATCTCACCCTCTTTTCCCTGAAATAAAATGCTTCCACACTGGTGACAGCCTCCCCTGCTCCTGGCACTGCTCAGGGGGTCATTGAGTCAGTCCCTAGCAGATTCTTATAGATCTCGGTGAGCTCCTCTAACTTCCTCTCCAGTTCCCGAGCCTGCTCCCTCAGCTCTTCAGCTGACTCTGTCTTCGCCCCCTCGTGCAAGTGCTTTGACTCTTGCACAAGACTGACTACATCTATCAGAAGGAAGACACCTACAGTGGCCATACCCATGACCCTAGCTCCTTTGGCCATTTTCAGAGCCGTGCTTGCAATGGTTTTTTGCACCGGATTACCTATCTGGATCGAGATAGTCCCACTGGTCATGAGACACCTGTGATTGGTTACTAGGAGCTTGGCTAGCTCTTTGGCACGGTCGTTCTTCCTGATGTTTGACGACGCTTGGTTGCAACTCTCTGTGGTGGAAACAAGTGATGGACGCACAGCATTCACAGCATGTTCACAATCTCCAGTTGACATCAGCTTGCTGGCTTTGGCTTTTGCTGATGACCTGGCTGAGTGGTCCACAATGCTGGTGGAAACACTGGTGATAGCAGCAGCTACTCCCAGCCCCACCCCAGTTGCACACAATGGAAGACTGACCCCTGCTGTCACGGGTGCCAGAGCCAAGCCAAGAATGGTCAGGATGCCAGAGACGGTGCTGGTGGAATTGGCCACAATGTGGGAGATGGTGCAGTCCCTGTGTATCTTGCCAACCTTGTCTGCAAGGGCGTGAAGCTCTCTTATATGCTCCTCAAGCTTCATTTTCACCCTAGGAAACTCCTGCAAAAATTGGTGTCTATGCTGCTGTTCTTTTTGAAGACTATCTTTGTCTTCTGTGGCTATTTCTTTTCTGAGCTGGTTCAGAGCTTCGTATAGTGCATCTTCCTCATCCCTGTAACAACAAAGATGAAGTAATTAAGAAAGACAGTCTACTTAGCCGTAAAATGGGTTTGATAAGATCTATCATCCATAAATCTAGAGCTCTTACTATAAAAAAAATGGAAAAGAATTCTACAAATGCGAAGAATTTTTCTTTCAATGTTAACACATGTTCGCACGTCACAGATGCTCCATAGTACTTTTTCGATAAGGAAATAAATAAGTAAAAATCATCTTAAGATGCTGTTTCCTGGTAGGTAAAGATGTTTTCTCACTCAAGGGTGGGTCAACACCACTGTGAAAGGGTCAGCCCCAGCACACCTTGTCACTTTCCCTGTGACCCATGAATGACCTTTGTGATTAGGACCAGCTGTATTGTCCTGGGTTTTTGGACGAGATGAGAGTATGGGCTGACAAATTTTCTGAGTCATTTTGATCCAAACACATCCCATAGCAAATAAAAACCTATTAACACATCTCTCCCCTCCTGCCCTGAACTCATGTTAACATTCCCAGGAACAGCTTAGCTAAGTGTGTGCATTATATTGCACCTGGTCAACCCACTGCTCTATATGTTTCCTGTGGGGAAAGAACAGGATCCTTCTCCTGCATCACAAGAGCAGTGCATTCAGACCATCTCCTCGTGTCAGCTGAGGAGACAGACCCACTGGCCGTGGGGGATCAATGCCCTTGATGGAAGCCGACCTTGCTCTGTCTCTTCTCTGTGTGAGTAAATTGTTGTTCCATCTAGTGCCTGTGTGTGAGGCATGTCTTTCTTGGAAAACTCAACACCTGCATTGTCCCAACTGACTGGGAAGCAGGAGCCCAGGCTATGAACCCTGGTTCCACTCTAACTCTGCACCCCACCTTTACTGACTCCTGAGCCACCAGCCAGCACCCTCAACCTTCAGGGCCTTACACTCAGATGCCACCAGCCTAACTCACACGTTAGCTGATGGCGGCTTAACATGTGTGAACGCCAAGGCAACGAACAATTTTATGGACACCAGAGACATAAAGAACCAAACATATGAATTGTTAAACCTGCAAAGACCTGCATTTGGACAAACCGGAGGAGGAGCTATTTACCTTTAGTGGAAACTTGTGAGAACAAGACCAAGTCCCTCAGATTACAAAAATTTGGTAGCCACCCACTCTGACTTTGGAAGTCATCACAAAGCCATGCTGCCTTCCTGCTGGTCAGGGGTGACCCTACATCGAACAGAACCAAATCCATTTCCACTGAGCTGATTTAGACTGATAGTGACCCTATAGGACAGAGTAGAACTGCCCCATAGGGTTTCCAAGGAGCGGCTGGTAGATTTGAACGGCCAACCAAACTTTTGATTAGCAGCCATATCACTTAACCACTGCACCATCAGGGCCCCGCCAGTGAATGATATGGAGGAAACCTTCCTCATGGATTATTGAGAAGGGATATCCTCAACTCCAACCACAGGAGATTGCCTGGAGGAGGTGTACCTCCAGGAGGCAACTAGCCCAGCAGGAAGATCTGAGTGACATTCCTGTGGCACCGTGGACGTTACCTGGACAAGTCGACCTCAGCTTTGATGCTCTCCAAGTTTTGGTCTTCAGCCAGCAGGTTTTGCAGCTCCTCTTCCGTCAAATTGTTCTTGAGATACTCAATGATACCCTCAGTGATGTCTTGGCTCTCTAGTTAGAAAGGAACAGAATATGTTTAGAGGAAATTATGGCAGAGCATAAATTGCATTGAGTATTATAAGGTGTTTAAATGTACATCCTCCTGAGCGGTTGTCACCTAGAGTACTTTTGATAGTCACCTGGGAAGCGTCTTGGCACTTTGTGGAGGAATGAGTCATTGTCAGCTCACAGCAATCAGAAAGTGAGCCTTCCAGCCCCAGAAAGTGGGAGAATTCCACTGATAGCTTCTGTTTACCATGTGCCTATTATGTGGCAAGCAGTATATGTCAGTGTTTCAAAATGTGAGTTGCCACCTATCGGTGGGTCATGAAATTAGTTTGTTGGGTCAAGGGCAGCATTTTACACAGAAAATGGAATGGAAAATATCAATGTTTAGAATATAGTAAGGACGTGTATTGTTTTTGTGAACTATTTCATATACAATGTGTTGTTGTTGTTGTCTTGTGCCATCGAGATGATTCCAACTCATGGTGACCCCCATGTGTTACAGACCAGAACTTGGCTGTAATCTTAACAGAAGCAGTTCACCAGGCCTTTCTTCCACATTGCCACTCTGTAGGTTTGAACTGCCAACCTTTCTGTTACTAGCCCAGCACAAATGGTTTGCACCACCCAGGGACCTTATGTATGTGTTTGTGTGTGTGTGTGTGTTTATAATGGGTCTAAGAAACACCCTGTAGTTAAACACATGATTTTTTAATTAATTAAACTAATTAATTCAGCAGTGAAATGAAGATTCACACTAAACCAAGGACCAAATCCATTACTGTCAAGTCGATTCCAACTCATAGTGACCCTATAAGACAGAGTACGACTGCCCCATAGGGTTTCCAAGCCTACAATCTTTACGGAAGTAGACTGCCACATCTTTCTCCCTCAGAGCAGCTGGATGGTTTCGAATTGTCAACCCTTCAATTAGCAGTGAGCTCTAAACCACTGGGGCAAATACTGTAAAGAACATAAGTAGTCTGAGGTTACTTCAGGTCAGGATTTCTGTCCAAATGAGCCACCAATGAAATGTGTGGTTTTTCAGGTTTTGAGGGATTATGGAATTGCAGATAATGGACTGGGGCCAGGGATGTCACTAGGTACATGCTGGGATCCTGACCGCACCAGGAGACACTGTGAGAGAGGATGAGACCAAAATGACTGTCTGTAAAATTTTTGTGCAGTGTTTCAGCAGAAGTTTATTACTTTTTATAAAAATATCCCTGCAGTTAGTTATAACAACAAAACATTTTTTTGTAAGCCCAGCTTACATGCATCAATATGCCTAAAAGGCTAAAACTCTATGCTAATTGACTTTTTTAACCTTCTAATACGCTCTAGTCAGAGCTGTCATTACAACCCAATTACAATGATGCTTCGAATCACGTGGTTTCATCTGCATGTGCTACAGGCACACCGTGTTTATTTTGTTGCTGATGATGGTTTTTTTTTTATTTTTAAATTTTATTGTACTTTAGATGAAGGTTTACAGAGCAAACTAGTTTTTCATTGAACAATTAACACACACATTGTTTTGTGACATTGGTTGCCAACCCCATGACATGTCAGCACTCTCCCCTTCTCCACCTTGTGTTCCCTATTACCAGCTATCCTGTCCCGTCCTACCTTCTCATCCTTGCTCTTGGGCTGGTGTACCCATTTAGACTTGTTTTGTTTATGCGCCTATCTAATCTTTGGGTGAAGGGTGAACTTCCAGAGTGTTTGCTGCTAGTGTTTTTACAGTGCTGATTTTGTCAAAATTTCTGGTGTTTTAGCTACAATATTCTAGTAATTAGCATGTGGGTGACACCAAGAGTTACCACACTGGGTGAGACCAACCCTAGTGACGCCCTGACTGGGAACCGTATATATTTATGTGTGTGACAACACATCTGTAAAATGTTTTGCCTACCATATTCACACAAGCAAGGCACTATTCTTATTTCACAGAAGAAGAACATGAGACACAGAGAGGGAAATCGAGCAACCAGAGCCAGCAAGCAGAAGGCTTGGGATTGGAATCCAAGGCTGCATGGTAGGCATTTCTTTGACATGACTTTGTAAGCCTTATGGTTTAAAACTTCCTGTGATTGACTTCTGGGCAACATAGCACTATAGACAGAAGCACCATGACATCCCTTCACAGCAAAGATCTGAAAAACTAAGTCAAACAGAAAAAAACATCATTCCTGAAACCCTAAGCATCAAATGAAGAGACAAAGAACTCAGCCAAGCACTGAATGGAATAAGAAACTGACAGAGAACAGAGAGCAAAGAGAGATACATGCAGAGGTCCCCTATCAGCTAACACAGCATGGATCCGCCATCTTGGATGCCCATCGAAGATCCGCGAACAGGGGGTATGAGAAAGCAGCTTCACGGAGCTTCCAGCAGGAGACAGAACAACTGGTAACCAGCGATATATGCTTTCCAACCCCCTACCCTTCTTCACTCCCACTTAGCCTCCTCTGCTTCCTGTGACCACAGTCTCTTGGCTGGGAAGCATAAGCTTAACCCTTGTGCTGCTTGGATTCCACCCACTCGCAATGGCCGGCTCCCTGAGTGCCATTTGTTGGCTGCTGGTGTTTCTTTTTTCCACCTCTTTAGATATCTTCCTTACCTCTCACCACCCCTTCCTTTCTCTCAAATACCTGGCTCCATGTGCCATCTTTGCTTCTTCCTGAAAGGCTGCGAAACACCGCTCAACTGTGAAACTGCATCCCAACCCATGCTGTCATGCTGGTGAGATCCCCGGGGCTTTTTGTTGTTGTTGTTTTGATTTGTTTGTTTGTTTTCTTGGCTTGGGAGCCCCCTCTAGCCATGCAGTATTGCTCTGTTTGGGAGCTACTCCCTTGCTCTGTGCAGACGCACAGTGGTATCCCTGGAGGCATTTCTTTTTTCCTGGTTTTTTTTTTCCTTCGGTTTTTTTGTTTGTTTGTTTCTTAGTTTGTTTTCTTCTCTCTCCTTTTCCCTTTTTGTCTTTATTCATTGCCGAGTTTCTCGTCTCTCTATACGTACCTTCTCTTCCTGTCTCCCGAATACCTGGCAGTGTGTGATACTTCTGCCCCTTCTAGCCAGTCTGTACTTCATGGACGGGGAGCAACTTTCCCAGTCCTCACAGCCTCACTGGTGGGATCCCTGGGGACTTTTCTTTTTTTTTCCTCTCTAACTTTTATGTATTCATTTATTTACTTTATCCTATTTCTTTTTTTTCTCTTTTTATTTTTCACCATTTCTCAGTCTCTCATCTCTCCACTCCAACAGCAAGCTCCCGTAGCACTCTTTTTTGTTTCTTTCTTTGTATGTTTTTGGCTCCTGTTCCTCTCTCGTCTTTCCCATACCCATCTTAGCTCCACACATCACAATCTACCCCCTCCATCCTCCCTACCTGCATCATGCACTGAACATCACACCCCCAAACAGCACACGCACAGCCTACCTGATCCTGCCCTACACTGATTCCTGTTGACCCTAATACGTGCCACAAACAACCCATCCCAGCAACTCCCCTTCAACCGGACCTGCCCTGCTGTACCATACCTGAGCGACTGACCCTGCCCATTGGAAAAGAGGGTGAGAAGTATCGTGCCTACAGATGAGCAAACAATAAAGAATGCACAGCCTGCTTGCTCAGACACAAACAAATAAAAAAGCAGGATGACACATATAAATCTAAAATCAATAAATGAAGAAAATAACTACTGAATAGTCCAAAGACGGCAGTCAATATCAAAACATACAAAAACAGGACAGGACGGTTCAGTAGTCATCCAAAATAAAACACGAGATGACATTCCAGTAGAAGAAAAGGCACTAGAACTACCCGATAGGGAATTCAAATCTCTCATATACAAAGCTACCCAAGAGATGAAGCAAAAAGCAGGCAACAATGAGGAAAAAATAGACAAACTCATGGAAAAGGCAGACAAATTCATGCTAAATACAGACAAAAATGGAAGAATTCAGGAAAATAATACAGGAACACTATGCTAAAATAAATCCACAACTAGAAATCATAAAAAAACAACAATTAGAAATCCAAAACTTACACAACAAGATCTCTGAAATGGACAGTGTCATAGAAGGGCTGAGGAACAGGTTTGAAATGATGGAAGACAGGATCAGTGAAATTGGATACAACTCTGAGGAAAAGTCAGAAAAATGAATGAATAAAAATGAAAAAACCCTGAGAACTGAGTGGGATACAGTCAAAAGCAAAAATCTGCAAGTGATCAGAGTTCCGGAACAGGGGGAGAAAACAGAAAACACAGAGAGGATCATTGAAGAACTGCTGACAGAAAACTTCCTCAATATCATGAAAGATGAAAAGCTGACCATCCAAAAAGCTCAACGAAACCCATATAGGATAGATCCTAAAAGAAAATCACCACGGCGTATCATAATCACACTTGCTAAAACCAAAGACAAACAAAGAATCCTGAGAGCAGCTCAAAAAAACCAGAAAGTCACATACAGAGGAGAAACAATAAGACTAAACTCAGATTATACAGCAGAAACCATGCAGGCAAGAAGGCAATGGGATGACATATATAAAACCTTGAAAGAAAAAAATTGCCAACCAAGAATAACACATCCTGCAAAATTCTCATTCAAATATGATGGTGAAATTAGGACATTTCCAGATGAACAGAAATGAAGGGACTGTGTAAAAACCAAACCAAACTTACAAGAATTATTAAAGGGCATCCTTTGATCTGAGAACAAACAACATCAGATCACAGGCTGAATCTAGGATACAGGATTGTACCAGCCAGATACCAACCTAGGAAATGAACTTTCAAGGACTCTGCAAAACCAAAAGAATTACAACAGACAACCAGAGAGGTTAATCTGTAAATGACAACAACATCAGAACAAAGAGGGAATAAGTGGTGTAGGTAGTAGGACCTTCTAATGGACAGGAAGGCAAGGCAATGCCAAGTAATAATAGACTGGTTCAAACCTAGGAAATAAGGATAAATTTAAAAGTAACCACAAAGAAA